CGCATGGCTCAATCACGTCCTGGTTGAAGTTCGTTCGCTACGCTCACTCACCTTTAGGTTGGAGCTCGTTCGCTGCGCTCACACATCCTGGTTGAAGTTCGTTCGCTACGCTCACTCACCTTTACGGTTGGAGCTCGTTCGCTGCGCTCACTTGCCTTCAGGTAAGCTCGTTCGCTACGCTAACTCGCCTCCGGGTTGAAGTTCGTTAGCTACGCTCACTCACTCAACTTTGGTTTAAAATTAGCTGTTGTCAAATATTAAAAAAAATAATAGTGCTGCACTCTGTTGGTAATCCTTGTAACTTTAATGCTATTGAACATCATAGAACAGAACCAACTTGTTTAATTGAAACAGCTGTTAAGATTCATTAATTCCATTTATGAGTACTCATTAGGTTAACACGGGAAACTCCAGAGCCACTGGGGCGGAGCCCGAGAGTCCGATCAGAATAAAAACGACTTAGTTTTCCTATTTAATGCCTAAAGAATCAGTGTACCAAATTTCAGCCTCCTAGGTAAGTGGGAAGTGGGAGAATTAGTGATGAGTGAGTGAGTCAGTGAGGGCTTTGCCTTTTATATATATAGATTAGGTAATGTAGTAAGACGATGATTTGTTGGTTCCTTCACAACAGCTGATATACCAGGCGTTGCCATACTGCTCGGCGTAGAGTATCAGACAGTAGACGGCGCCACTGTGTCATGAGCACTACTTTTGCCTAGTGAAAATCTAATCAGGGAAATGTAAATTCGCTTAGTCTACAGATTTGCTGCAGCGGGGGTGTTAGTTCTTTTATTGTTGGTTCGTCAGTATTTGGCTGCACTTTTTGATATGCCTCAATATGTTCTTTTTGGTGCTGTAAAAGCACGTTTAGTTATGTTAACAAATACTCTTTTTCTACAGTCACCTAACAATGTACATGTTCTCTCACGGATTTGAGAAAGCAAAGTAGCCAATTCGCTTATCAGTGAGACAATGTTAACATTGTCTCACTCTAATTACTTTGTCTCACTCACTCCAGATTTGCAACGTGAAGGCACGAAATAGTGAGCGCGTAACATGCAGACAAGGTCGTATGATATGCGCGTGAAATACGTTGGCAGCACTGACTGTAAATCAGCTGGTCAGCTGTTGTACTGTAGTATCGTTAAATTTAATATTGAAAGTTCACTCCTGTTTAAAAATATGTTACATTTTTATACCAATTTATTTGTTTTATGGTAACTGCAGGAAATTATAATGTGCAACTCGAGTGCAAAGTGCAATTGCCTCACTCGAGAAACCATTCCTCACTCACCTTTCTCTCGAGTGAGTCAATTGCTCCCTTTGCTCACTAGTTGCACAAATAACTATTCCATACGCTAGTACAGCTTTTGTCTCACATTTTTTATGACTCTTCTCCCTGCTGATCTTTAAAACCCCAAGGCTTGGTTTTGAGACCTTGCTTGAAATACTGTATCTTAAGGCCCGATAGAAATCTCTAGAGTTATTTCTTGAAATATGCTTTTCTGCTTAATTAATTGATCTTTTTCCGGTCAAGAAATGTCTTGACCACATTCAGCACGTCTTGAGCTTTTAATGTCTATACAAATTGTTCCTGTTTCTTTTATCATTCAAAGTGATCAATTTTATTTGTAGCCTTTCCTTCCACCTTATGATACCCCTGTTTCTTTCAAGATTTTTTCCTAGGGAAAGAGGTGCTTGGAACTGTAAAATTTGTGGTAGATGCCAGGCTAAAGAACCTAGTTCCATTGTCGTTACTGTTACCATGCAAACTCTCCTTTCAACAGTCCTTCCATTTATCGTCTCAGCCAACTTTGGGATTAGCATTTTCTAATATTCTAATTGACCATAAAGACAATCTTTTTTGCCATCATATCCTCCGTCGTAATGTAAATGAACATAAATGTCTATCACAGGAAGGTTTTAAAATTTTACTTTTAATCTTACATATTCGTTCACAGCCTCAAATTCGACTCGAGTATCTACAATATCATAGATGGCGAATCCCATTCCTTACTTAATGTATCCATAATCTCTACCACTATAGTATAACATGAAATTTCCAGCGTCAATGATTACATTTAAGGCCCACCTAATTTCCTACAGGGACATCCATTTTGTACTTTTCCAATTCCCTGATAACTAAGGTCCACAGCACCTGGCACTGCCAGAGAGCAACCGCTCCAGCGGATCTCAAGTCCTTATGACGTATCTTAGGTCTTTGTCCAATGTGATCCATTGTGTCCGAGACATTTCTTAGGCGATACGTAGCCAGGGTGTTTGGCAAGGGAGAGTGGTTAGCCCTTCACCTCAATCCCAAATATGAATGGAGGACCTCACTTACTTCTGGTCAGCGGGTCCATCGGACCTATCCGGGAGGACTGAAAAGCAGATACACCGACCTTCCCCCTATCCGCCACCCAGTGGATGCTCCGTATACGCTGAAGTAGGAAAGCGCATGGCATTATTACTAGACATAAAATACTAACACTATGTACAGAAGATACATACTAGTAGATACATGGCATACTAAATACTAACAAGTTGGTTCTAGCCTAGCTCATACTGTTATTATTCATCTTCTTCAGAACTTGTCCTTGTATTCTGGCCCCCTTGTCTTCACACAGCTCACAGTTTGTTGCTGAACTCTTCAGTTTCTTCCTCTCTCAGGGCCGTCCCTCGGGTTGGCAGCGCCCGGAGCAAACGTGGTCGTGGCGTCCCCTCCCCCCCCCCCCCAGTTATAGTCAGTCGCATTTGCATATTTTAATACTATGTTAATACAAATAGCCGCTGCGTGGCGCCCCCTCAGCCACGGCGCCCGGGTCCCGAGGCAGCTTGCCCCGGTTGCCCCCCCCTTCGGACGGCCCTGTCTCTCTTGAAGTTTACGTTTTTCTATTGCAAATCCTTCAGCACTTTACACAATCCTTTAACTATGTATGTCCTTTAACAGTCCTTTAACTATGTTAACAATTAACTCAAAAGCGTAGTCTGAGCATTTCTAGAAGTGTGCCAGCGACGACCAAAATACTCGGTGGTTTGTTGTTAACTTGTTTTTTTAACTGGTTCTGTTTATCTGATTATATTAGTAATTTGTAGTGTAGAAATAGATTGGTGAAGAAGGTTATTAATTTCCTTTTTGTTGATAATTTATTTCAAAATTATCCTTGCATGCGGGATGTTTCTTCAAAGGAGTATTTAGAGTAACGCCAAAGACAGCTTACAGTGCCTTGATGTAAAACCTCAATGATGCTGGAATGCCTGATATGGATGTTCTTTCACACACATCCTCATTAATAAGCTTAATAACTTGTTTAGGCCGTCCCACCGATGGCATGGCAACTAAAACTGACTAGGAGAGTAGTGTGACCAGGGCCGTGTTAAGGGTCAGTGGAGCCCTGGGCAAACCCAAAATCAGTGCCCCCATTTTTTCCTAGTGCGGGCAGGCGGTGGTTGAGGGGCACCCGGTGGGCGCCCCCAAACCTTCTGCGCCCCTAGGCATATACCCAGTATGCCCGTTTATAAAAGTGAGCCTGAGTGTGACAGGGCTGCCAGCCGCTGCTTGGTGGTGCTGCTGCCAGCAACTAGTGTGACCTGTGCTTTGAAGCTGATAGTAGCATCTTCTTTTAAATTACGGCTGATGCCATCCTAGTGTGACCCGTGCTTTAATAAAATTTGTCTATCTTTGGGGAACTTCAAAAATTATGTTTGTGGCATGATAAGTAGACCTACCTATGAATATTCAAGAAGTGTATTAATTTTTCAAACTCTAGCATTCCTATACGTGGACTTGCTAATCAATGGTTTTCATCTTTTAAGGTTCACAGGCAATGAATTTTCATTTTTCAAGGAAATGAAATTCGAGGATAAAGTCACATAGAAGCGATGCAATACATGTAAAAAAGTCTAACAAAATTTAAAATGGATTTTTTATAACGGTCAGGTTGTCAATAATGACAGAACTACTCTGATTGAATTTATAATTTATTTTTAATGAAATAGTGGTTCCATGTTTCTGATGAATGAGATTTATAGTTCCTTGAAAACAGAATATACAATTTTAAGGTTTGTTCATCAATCAAACTTTGAGTTTTTCATCGCACACTGATTATGTTATTCAAACATCTGGTATTTCTGTTCTGCACTCTCGACCTTTGCTGATTTACCAATGCTTCTTACAGCATATCACACGGTCTTTAGCCCATACCTTGCATTTGCTATTTCAATCTGGGGTTCAAAAAGGACTGCTACATAACTAATTTTCCTGTTTAAAAAAAAGCTCCTAGAGATAATTGCTTTTAAAAAACTCAATATCCTCCTCATTTTCCAACGTATTCATATTTTTCAAACATTATGTTCTTCAAATAAAACCCCTTAGGGATATCAATGGTATTTCTGAATTATTATTAAAAAATTTGGGAAATAACAAAAATAAATTTGTTTATTAAAAAAATTCTTAAATTTAAAAACTTCATACCTCACATTTTCCCTTTTACAACTTGTAAATAGTGTTTCCCTAACTCAAGATTTGCTATAAAAAATGCTTATTCAAATTATTAATTGATATGGATAAGCCACAAAGGACCTTCTCCAATGTGATATCAAAAATCTGCTCTCAAAACTACCATATGGTTCAGAAACACTCTAAATCAAGTTGTGTATTCGATTATGAGAGTAAAACTTGCCCAGTGAGAGGGCAGACCCGGGGTTTGCTATGGGCCCAAGAGATAACTAATTGTGCGCCCTTTCCCCTTCCTCTTGCAGGAATTTTTTCTCTTCCTCGCACTAACCTCTAACCTTAAACCTCGCATACCCCTCTGGGCGACCCGGGCCCATTTACTACAGCGGCCCTGCAAGAAGGTGAGGGAATTTAGTAAACTAAATTTATCAGATACTATTGAATAGATAGGGATTCCAATTTTGACATAAAACAGGAAGGAGAAGAAAGAAGCAGAAGTAATGTATTAATGAATGAGTAAGGTTTCAAAATATGAATACCACAGTAAACATTAAAAAGTATATTAACATACATTGAGCGTCATACAATTAAATCAAAGTTGTACATCAATACGATCACAACAATATACACTTATGCTCTATCCCAGACCTAGAAAGTTTGAGGGTTTCTTCGTGGTCGCTCCTTGAGCAGGTTTTTTACCCCCAATCAATCCGGTTAATCCTCCGGTCAACGAGGTAGCCGTGTTGTTCAGTCCATTAGCCAAGCCAGTAGCCGGCTGGACCAGTGTATCTGTGGCCTTGACAGTTACATTTTGTAAGTTGTCAGTTACAACATTGTTAAGTACATCACCCAGCTGAAGGAAACTACACTCAGCTGATTTGAGGACCTGTAAACAAGTAAGAAAAGACAGTCAGCATAAATAATAAGGTACAAACACAAAATCTCAATGATTAACCTGATCAGTCTGAATTTCCATTAAATTTTTTAAAAAGTTACATAGTTTTGAACAAATTTTGAAAAAATACATCAACGATCCTTTCAATGAAAATTTCTTGCGCAAAAAAATCTGTTTTAGCTAAAAATGCCTCTTAGTTTACATAGTGTGGTATGTATCAACATCTTGTTATAGACATACCACGAACAAAACAACCTGCGCAGAAACGAAAAAGATCACGTGGTTCGCGCAGGTAGGTGGGCCGTACCATTCAAACCTGCGCGGCTCGAAACGGCCCAGGGTTCTTTAGTTTCTGGTATTACTATAGAGTTGTACCATTCCCTTTTTCTTGGGAGAGTAACAAACCAAGGCTGTTTTCCGTCCTCTAAGTTAGTTTAAACATGCATATGCATGATGTTTTTTACCTCTGTAAGTCCAGCCCACAGACCCATCTGACATTTGCGGAAGCCACGGGCCTCCTTTGGTGTCTCATTGATGATAACGTAGTCTCCTCCTTCTGCAGTGAACGGCTTTAGGCTGCGACCAGAGATCTTGGGCAATCTACAAAATTAAACTTTATGTTAAGGATCTAGAATAGTCACTGTCTAACAATCCTGTTCCAATACCCTGGGTCCTGAAATTATTTAGAAATTTTACCAATATAAATTAAATGTGAACCTCTCATTTTCCCTTGAAAATGATGGCATGGTACATTTGCTATCATGTTCAAATATTATCTACTACTACTGCATCTGTTGCTCGAATTTGAACAATGGAAAAGTATTACAGGCGTTATTTCAAAGCTGATAACAGTTATAATTTTCGATGACTTTAAAAAATTAACTCAAAGATATAATGTAATCAACCACTCCAGTTATCAAACTGAAAACGAACTCATTCTGAAAACGAACGCTATTGTGTGTATCATGTGTTTACTATGAACAGCTGTAATTAATACAAATTATTCGTCTGTTTAAGTAAACAAAATCTTTTCATCATAAGAAATACATTGGAATTTTGATGGCCTGTGGGGCAAAGCCCGAGGATTTTTATTACAGGAATACAAAAAATATTATTCTACACAAAAAGTACTTTATTTTGACACATTGTAAAAATCCGTCCATTATCAACGGAGGAGTAGTGTTTTGTAGAAAACGCCTTCACGTATTATATATATATAAGAACACTCATAGTAGGTTCACTCAAATACTAATTTCTGGCAAAAATACAAACTTTTTAACCAGGCCAAATTGTTACAGACAACTTCATGTGTTACATAAAATATCATGTGACAAAAACCAAAGGAGTAAAATCAAACTTTATAAAAGCAGCACACTTGTTGAGCGGCAGCGGCTCCCAAAAATTTGTGAAAATAACGCTATTGTTTTCGCCATTTACACAATCTCGATAATTAGAAAACTGCAGAAAAACCTGACAAAATTGACAGCCATAGGAAACCATCCACAACATATAACCTTTAATCACAACTTACTGACGCCAAGAAAAAATGTTCTAAAGCACTGGCCTAACAACGTCATATGGTCAATATTTTCATGTTCTAATTATTTATTTCAAACAATGTGTTTATGAAATTTTTAGTTTTTGTTTTCGTATGCATGGCAATTATCCAAAAAGCATCACTATAAAATAAAGATAATTTTGATAGAATTACAGGATATCCTTTTTACAAGATATACCTTTTTCTAATTTTAATCTTGGGATCCAAAGTAAAAACAATCATGAACTTGTTTTGAATTGTTTTTTAGATAACTGTGTTGCCATACTTGTTTTTTTTATAAAAAAAACAATAGCGATATTTGTTTAAAATTAATTATCTTATGCTAAAAACAAACTACAGTAGGTTAGATAAGTAATGAAATAAAATTGTTTTCTCTTTTAAGTTTAACCTTGACTACAAACCATTAGACAACATACTTAGTGGTTTATATAACAAAATCTAATCTCCTTGATGTTTTCTTAGCATACTACCATATATACTACTGATCAATCACTCTGTCTATATTTGGAACATATAATATCATAAAGGATATTCATCAACCTAGTTTTATAGGGAGGGGGGTCGCCCTCACCGCTCCCCCCTTGGATCCGTGCCTGCATCAGCTGGTCCAAAAGTGAATGGTTTTATTTAACACAGAATCTATTACTTCCATTAAAATGAACAATGCCATTGTTATACATACCCAGTTTTACAGAATTCAGCCACCATATCAGTGAAGTGCTCTCTAACTGTGATGTCGTGGGGATCAGTCAATTCTCCTCCAAACAACGGTTTTCCATCCACAGATTTGAGGTCGAATAGGTAGATCAAGTCATCACCATGTCCCACACCTGAACATCATACAAAATGGTGATTATCAGGGCCGCAAAGGGGGGGTCGTTTGCCCCGGGTGGCAAGATTTGGGAGGCGGCAAAATTTAGGTTGCTATGTAATTTGTGTTAACCTATACAAAAAGGTTTATTTTGATCCAATGACTCATTCAATTGTATATCCATTGCATTGTATATACATTGTTCTCTTGTGCCTTTCCTATTATATACTTACTTACTTACTTACTGCTGTGGCTCTTGGTACCCAAGGTGGTAGGTGGTACTTTGCCTCGCCAACACACTGCCTCCAGATTTTTCTATCCATTGCCTCCTCTTCCCTTCTTCCCAGTCTTCTTAGGTCTTTTCTAACCTGGTCTCGCCATCTCAACTTGGGCCTTCCTGGTGGTCTTCTGCCCTCCGGATTGTTCAAAAGGACGTTCTTGACTAAGGAGTCGTCCTCTTTCCTTAGTAAATGGCCAACCCATCTCATTCTCCTACCTCTCACTTCGGCCACTATGTCTGGGTCCATATATAATTGCCTCAACTCCACATTGTGTTTTATCCTCCATTCTCCATCTTCAAAGGTTGCACCATATATTTTTCTCAATATTTTGTTTTCAAATACTATCAAACGTTTTTCTGTTATTTTACTTAACACCCAATTTTCTGAGCCGTATAATAGAACTGGTCTTATAATGGTTTTATATATACGGAGTTTTGTTTTGTGTGATAGTATTCGAGAGATTAATAGTTTGTGGGATGCCGAGAAACTTCTGTGTACTGCATTTTCCTATTATATAGTTTTTTTTATTTTTTATTAAGCTTTAAATGATTTATAATTTGTTTCCTCTTTTATATAGACAGGCAATAGAGTTAGTGATTCAGAAAAATTTGGTTTCTTTTTGGAGGATTCCAGCTTATAATATATCCAGATTGAAACCATTTTAAGGGGACTCCCATTATCCTAAGACTTTCCAGTTTTTCGGCAAAAATTGAATGAAACACACTATGAAATGCTTTAGAGAGATCCATGTATATTCTTAGAACATTTTCACCATTTTCAATTGATTGGACGATTTAATTATTTTTCTTTTATTTAGTTTAGAGAAAATACGTTTATTTTGTACTTTTCTAGCTATTCTAGCCATTTTTGTAATTTCCTGTTTTTCTTGTTTAATTTCTGGATTTATCCATGATTTCTGTGTGTTGTAAATTTTTACAAGTTTGTTTTCAAAGCATAAATTGAAATAGTAAATAAACATTTTGTAAAAAATATTGTACTTTTCTGTTACTGGTGCTAAATAAACATCATTCCAGTTTTCCTTTTCCAACATTTTATAATACTAGAGCTTATTTTATTCTGAGAATAGTCAGTATTTTTTAAAAGTTTAATTATTTTTAAAACGTTTTTATTAGCTTACTTTCTTGTCCGGTAGAAACTTTGCAATCAATTTTAAACTAACTTCCCGATGAGCTAGTGACTTGAAACTTGAAACATAGCTCACAAGAAATGGATGACAATGAAATATTATATCATTTAATTTTCAAATTTCCCTTGTTTAAACATTTATTTAAAATTTGTATTTCTAAGATTTGTCCATTGTGATCTGAAAGCTCAGTTATCATTCCTGTGGTCTTTAAGTCATGGGTTGGAATGTTTGTTAGAATGTTATCAATAGCTGTTACTGAGTTAGTTGTGACCCTTGTTGGAAAATGTACTAACAATTTCATACCATGAGTTTTTAACAAATTATCAATATCTTTGCTTTGTTTGCTGTTTACTAAAACATTAATATTAAAATCTCCTACTATTACCACCTTTTTGTTTTTTTGATGACACATAGTCAAATAGAATACCTGATCGACTTAAAAACACTACTTACACTACTTGCAGGTGATCTATAAATACCAACCAAAAGAAATTCATCCTTTTCAAAAACATATTTTGAACAACATAACTGAAACACTTTTCCTTCCCTTAACAGTTCAATATTACCATAATTCACCGCTTGAGAGCTGTATATGGCCATGGCCGCACGAAGCTTTAGCTGAGGCTGAGATTGAACCTGAGAGAGAATGAATGAAGTGGAATGAGCTATTTTGCGTACTGTTTACAGGTGTGACAGTACTGACAGTGATCATTTCCATGCAGTGGTAGGAAAAGATGTTTTCAGTAACAAATTTGTGTTTTTAAAGTGGGATAACTATCTAAAATAATTATCTTACTTGGGAAAATGCCAACAAACTATGAAGAAACATTCTCTTGAGAGGGGTGGTTTTAAATATACCAATTAAGAATGGAATGGTTTAGGACCACATCATAATAGAGAGGGAAGGCCACCTAGGTGTGTATTTTATCCAAAATGTGAATACAAATTAAGTGAGATGACTTGTTTTGCTTTGTTACTGACCAAGATTATTTCACTGTTTCATCTCATCCCTTTTACCACTTATTTTAAGCAGCAATATAGAAAGATAATATCCCAGAGGGATTGCCACTCTGCACACCTGTAGATTTGAAAACCAATCTTCTCAAATATTCTCAAAATCCCACAGTGTCTCAATAGTCCACCACTCACAAGGCCAAACTCTAGGTAAGTTGCCCTTTCTCAAATCATTTTACTTTATCCCTTGCTAAGATAGCGATGTTCTGGTAAAATGTTTTAAAATACAATATAAGCTGGTTTTTCCTAGACGCGGAAGAGGATGGCGGAGAGCGGAAAAGCGATTAACATGGCTTTCCGCTCCGCTTCTAGGAAAACAGTAACATTAAATTACCTAAGACAAGAGGAGTCTGCTATCCACGTTTCTCTCTCCGTGCCTAGGAAAACCCAGTTTAAAGCTGAATATGAATGCAGGAATAAATATGAGTTAGAAACCGCATGATCTGTGTGGCTTTTATTATGACTAAGATTAGCTGGCGCTTTTGCCAGAATCATTTATTAAAAGCCCAATGATCAAGCTACAAAATATTTGCCAGGAACTTTTCTTATTACTCTCAACAACCAGGGACGTATTTCCCTAACGGCGGACACCACGTTTGTGCGGGTGCCTCACTTGGGCTTCAAATTGTTTTTTTTTTTCAATAAATTTATTTCATCAATAATCGGTTTTGCGGGAGACGATGATGAAATCAGCGCCACCGAAAAAGATCTTCACTATTTCGCCGTCAACATAAGAGTTGTCACTATTCATCCACAATCGTGGAAGATGTCCAGGATTTTATCAAGAGGAGTTGAAGATCATGTCCCCGAAAACTCAGAAGATCTTCACGATTTCATCATGATCGAAGGAGACGAAGATGATGTCTCTGCGCTCGCGCAATATGTTATATATCCTCCGCGGCCAATGGAGTCGTTAATGTTTTCGCTGCAGTCAATGGAGTCGTTCATGATTTTTCACCATTATCGAAAGAGACGAAGATGATGTTTCCTCACTTCCGCAAGATATTACCTCTTTCTCCACGGCTACAAAACACTTTCATGATTCCGCCATAATCGGAGGAGACGAAGATGATGTCTCCCCGCTTGGGCAATACACAAACAATTTCTCCACAGCCATAGGAGACGTTCATGATTTCACCGTGATTGATTTTGATCCGATGCCCGAAGATCAAGATTGTTTATTCAACCCGAAAGAAACAAAAAATTGCTGGCCCCTACCTAAGACCCCTAATAATATTATTTGAAAAATAATAGACTTATTATTTTATCAGCTAGTCTCCTAGGTATTTTTGCCGATAAGATTGTTGAAAAAAATGCCAATTTTTCGAGTTGAAGCAATACTACGTGTATTTCTAAGCTTAAGTTCCAACCTTTCGAAGAATCATAATATAGAGAGGGGCTTCTCTGGTGAGACCGGCTAGGGGCTTCATCGATTCTAAATACGGCCCTGTCAACAACCCCTGTTCATCATACCTGGCACAGGTTTGTCTTCCTTCTGCTGAGTCAAGGGGTAGTCCTGCAGGAAGTCGTCTGCAGTAGAAGTCTGAGATTCATGTTCAAACCTGTACAAGTAGACTTTGTCTTTCTTAGACCAAGACTGCGAGGAGAGGAACGCCGGGAGATTGAAAAGAGCGTCTGTTGTCATCTGAAAATTACAACAATTTTACTGATATATGTTTTGAAAGCTATATGAATCAGTTTTATACAGCTAACAACATTAACCATAGTTTTCATTGTCGCACATTTGATGGCTGTTTATCATCAGGTACAATCGGAGACAGTCTACAATTGGGCCTGACTCTTAACCTGTGTGTCTGGTCGAAATTGAGCAGCATTGTATTGTAACATCTTTTACATATATTTACCATCTTGTAAATGTTTACAGTATAAATGCAAAAATATTAGATAGTGTTGAAAGACGTGTTTAAATTATTATATTCAAATAAGTGTCTTTACCTAAACTCCTAATCAAAAAGTTATTCAATTTAAAGGGTTAGGCAAAAGTTTTGATACACCCCCTTAACTTTTCAATGGGTTACACAAGGAAGACTAAGGCCTCCTCACCTTTATCTATTTTGGATAAAAGTATACAATTTTTTTTCGTTAGTAGGTATGAGAATTTTTTTGAAAAAAGCTATTGTTTTTACTTTATCAATGGTGACCAACATACTTAGTCTGAGCTTTCTAAACTTCATAAATGAAATTTGTTATCACTTTAAAGAAGTCCAAAAAAAAAAAAAACAAGTCAAACTTAAATACCGTATGGATCCTTTGGCTTTTATATTTCTTTATTTACGACATGGCCTTCATTTTGACATACCTACCAACCGTTCTATATATGTAATTTTATTTGAGAATTCCAGCTTCAAATATCACCTCTTATCTTTTTTTTACTATAGGTTTCAATTAATAGATGTTATGTTGTGTTTATTACTTTTGTTACAAACACGAAACGTTTATATCAGTTTTGATTCGGTTCTTTATCAAGGGGCGTAGAATGCTCTGATGTGATGTATGCATTTGAGTTTTCTTAAGCCCTTTAGGTTAGTTACTTCATAAAACAATGCTAAAAAGAACTCCATTATCACGCTCATGTTAATGACAAACCTAAGCATCCAAAATGTATTATTTGGGCACCTACACTGTCAAAGAGAAGTTGGCTGTAGTCCTTTCAAACAGACTAAGAAGAAGAAGAAATGTCCCTTAAAACTTACCTTTACCATGACTTTAAATAAGGCACATGGACAGAGGCTAACAAAGGAAGGATTGCACTTGTCAGACACTGTTTTTTTACACATCCAGTTTTTGTGGCTTTGTCAATAGTATATTTCATTACTAGGACCGAAAGTGGCATTTTCCGTGGCGGGCTCAAGTTTTTGTGTGAGGCGAAGCCGAACACAGGGGACCCCAATTTCACGTGCGAGGCGAAGCCGAGTATGTGAGAGCTATTTTCACGTACGAGGTGAAGTCGAGGACGGGAATAATGGAGCAAGTGCTGGATAATAACTTTCAGTACGAGTTATGAACGATACTTTTCATGACGACGCAAAAATACACAAATACAGATTAGCAGACCTCAGTAATATTACAACTATATTTTATTTCTCAAATAATTTGATTGAACATCAAAATATAAAATAAAATCTTTAAAAAGAAACCAACGTATATTTCTCAATAACTTTTGTTTAAACATGAAAATAAAAGAATAAAGCAACTTTTAACTATACATACAGCTGATTCAAATCATTAAATTAAACCGTAACAAAACACTAGCGGGCATAGAGAATAAATGGAGAACTAATTGAGAGCGAGGGAAAGTAAATTTAGAGCAAGGGAAAATCAGCTAATCGATTTTCCCTCGCCCTAAATTAGAGCTTGGGAAACGACCACTTTCATTGATGTCCGCTGTTATCGAAAATAGTTACCTTCGTTACGGAGTGATGAAAAGCACTTTTCAGTAAAAACTATGTCTGTGTAAAAACAAAACAATCAAATCAAAAATTGTTTATGGCCATATTCTTACTTCATACATAGAGTTCAAATAGGTCCTATAAACTTAACTTATTACTCAGTAAAATGGTAAGTTTTTTACGTTTACTCGTATTTTGAAAAGGTTTTTTAACCAAAAATAATAGGAACTAAAATATTTAACACATTGCCAAACAATCTAAAATCAATAAATTCAAACACTCTTTTCATAAAAAAACTGAAACAATACTTAATCAACAAACCTTACTATATAGTCTAAATGGATATTTCGAAGACCACACACACTACAACAATACATAACAGTACCCAAAGAAGAAAGAAAAAGAAAAAACAAGAATTTTGACGATTCCCTGGTCTCAACGACTATGGAGAAGAGGACCTAGGTAAAAGGTAAAAAGGTTTTTTAACCATCTAAAATGTGGACCCACATCTATTTCTGAAGTGGGGACCCATACTTTAATCAACGATGCACTTACTACCACAGAATTAACTGTAATGTTTTGTACCTCAATAAGTGGGATTTTAGAAAGATTCAGGGTGAATGCTTCGCACGGGTCAGCTGGTAATACCTTAGTTTCTAAGAATACACGCAATAAAGTTCATACCTCTATGATTTTATCCACAGTACTTGCTAAGCTGTTTAAACTGGAGGTGATACCTTTCAGGTAGCCAGTGTTGGAAAACAGTTGACTTAGAACGGGATTCAGGGAGGTGTTGCCAAAGATACCTGAAAATTGTAATTGACAAATGTGTTAGGTGGATGCTTTGTATTGCTGGGAAACTGGTCTTTTCCCACGCATGGCTGGATCCAAACAGATAAAATAAGATTAGATAAATAGATTGTGATTCATGAGTTGAGTTGTAATTATGGTTTTTGGACCTGTAAAATACTCTTTATAGCACTAGTAAATAAATACCCGATTTCTGGTAATTTAAAGAAATTACTAGGTACCGTAATCTAAAAGTCAATGTTAGACGTTTACTTTCTCTCCCTATATACATGTATATGGAGAAAGTATTGTTTTTGTCAAAATTTGTTTGTATGAATTTTAAATGGATATATCGGTTTTGGGTCCCCGATCCCAGAAAAGTGGTTTTGGAAGTGATGTTTGTGTGTGTGTGTGTGTGTGTACAGAACTAGACCACACCGGTTGTCCGAATTTGATGAATTTGGTATGTAGGCACTAATCCATGGTATCTCCTGGTGTATATATTTTTTTTTTTTATTTTGATTTTTAAAGGTGATTTTTCCATGAAATCCCATAAAATAACGGAAAATTGATTTTTTTTAAATGGCCTACGGTAATTGATTTTGATAGAAATTTAGTATGTTTATAAGTCCTTTACATTCTGAACAAAATGGTACAAATCCCTTTTCAGTAAAAATCACGGCTCAAAAGTTTTTGTAACTTTTATACTATTTTCTCTTAAAAAGCCAAAAAATAACAGAAAATCTGATTAAAAAACGATTTAATTGATTAAAATTAGTAATGGTCCTTATAATTCTGAACAAAATAGTGCAACCCCATTTCTGTAACGATTACATTTCAAAAGTTACTGCAACTTTTGTGATTTTCCCTATAAAATATCAAAGTTACTCCCGCCGCTTACCTATGTGCCAAAAGAATTTATATAGTGTAAATATTTTTATCATAAAGGTTGTTGACAAGCTAATGGAAGAAAGTATGTGTAAGATTGATGATACCATTTCCCTCTATACAACCTGGTTCCTTATATTAAAAAATAATTTAAATAGTCACAAATAATACATATAGACTAAATACCCCCCGCCGCAGCAAACCTGCAGACTAAGCGAATTTCAACTTGTCTGATTACATTTTTATTCAAATATTTCCATAAATAAGACATATTTATTCCCTATTTAAATAACATTAGATTTAACAAGTGCTTAGGTTTGCTGCTACGGGGAAGGTAAAAAAACTTGTTTAAACCATACGTAAATAGTATGGGATGAAATAAATAAATTTGCCAAATTTTATCAATATATATCCATAAACAAGTAAACTACAACAATTTTTATTTCCTCCATAAGAATAACATGGGACTTTAAACTATTTTAGAATTTTCTCCGTGACCGTTAGGTATGCAACAGCGCTTCAATATACTAAATTATTTCTTTTTTTTAAGCTCTACAAAACGGTTTAGAAAGAAATTGCAAATTTTTTTGTTTTTAGAGTAAAAAATGAGAAAAACACATTTTTACCCCATAAAACCCCCATAAACCCCTGTTCCCATGGTCCGATTATGCTGGATCACGAACTTGTTCGAATAAACGTAGGTTTACACGTTTGTACCAAATTTCATCAAAATCGGATCATTTTTGCTCGAGTTATCGCGTTAACGGACACACATATATATAAATATATATATATGAATGAATTTGAACGGATGGTGTTTTTGGCCTCTAGGGACCTCAAAATGAAAAAAAAAATCGGCCCCGCGTCCAGGTCTTACCATGAGTACTACGGTAATAGCTTATTCCCTATATGGGAAATTCGCTAAAAGTCTTGGCTCCTTGACCCCACAAGGCTTAGCAAAATACAATGTTAATATAAATGTAAACATATTTAGCAACCTGAGTTTATGTTGAGGAGCTGAGGTATCAGGCTTTCTACTGCTTCTTCCGTAGCTTCCAGTTGACCAAGGAGTTGAGTGGCAATTCCACCTGCAACCAAACAACAATATTTAACTACTGAGGAAACCAAACCCAAAAAGTCCACAAAACAAAACTAGCTCATATTTAGGGAAGTTATCATCAGGGTTACACCGGAGGATGTGGGAAAATGTCGGAAATTAAACCTGCAAACTCAAGTTTTTTAAAAGCTGTTTAGAGACATACTAGCTGTAACCTGCGGGCTTTGCCCCGTTTAACTTCTTAATTTTCAAGATGATCTCGTTCGCATGGCTCAATCACGTCCTGGTTGAAGTTCGTTCGCTACGCTCACTCACCTTTAGGTTGGAGCTCGTTCGCTGCGCTCACTTGCCTTCAGGTTAGCTCGTTCGCTACGCTAACTCGCCTCCAGGTTGAAGTTCGTTCGCTACGCTCACTCACCTTTTGGTTGCAAATTAGCTGTTGTCATAAATGTAAAAGAAATAATAGTGCTGCACCCTGTTGGTAATCCTTATAACTTTAATGCTATTGAACATCATAGAACAGAACCAACTTGTTTAATTGAAACAGCTGTTAAGATTCATTAATTCAATTTCTCATAAGGTTAACATGGGAAACTCCAGAGCCACTGGGGCGGAGCCGATTGGACGGATCACGAAATTGATGGTGTTTAAACCTATTCCATGAAATTCTACACATATGTAGCCTACCAAGTTTCGTGGCAATCGGTTCAGCGGTGTCTGAGTTTATCACTGCCAAACAAATATATATATAAGTAGATAGTAATGTACCAATCCTAAACCAAAAAAGGAAGACTTCAATAATTTAATGAAATTTATCGTTTTTCAATACTAATATGTTAAATTTTTGCCTCTTTTTAGGCCAATTTCTAACATTTTCATATTTTTCTAGAAAAAGTATACAATTTTGATGAAATTTTCATGAACATGTTTATATTTTCCATAAAATTGACTACAAAACAAAATGTTTTTAAAAACAAGTAGGCTAAAAATTCTAAAACTTTTTGTTCAAATATTTGAAATATTTTATTTAAATTATTGTTTTTTTGTAAATAACATTTTTCCTATTTGAGTTATTCAAAATCTATTAAAAGTATTGAATTTCTCAGAAAATTCTAATATTTGATGTATTTTACAAGTCCATATTTCATTTTAAATATGAAATAAAAGAAATGTAAAAAAAATGATAATCTTAAGATTAAAAGATAAGTATTGATTTAAATTGAAAATAAATATCACCAATTAAAAGCTTGTTAAAAATTAATGCTATTTCATACATTATACTTTTCTGTATGATTAAAGATAATGTAAAAATCAACAAATACCCCCGCCGCAGCAAACCTGCAGACTAAGCGAATTTCCATTTGACTGATTGGATTTACACTGAAATGTCTACTTAAAAATATAACATTTATTCCCAACTAGTGTACATGTTGCTCGGATTCGAGCAATTGCAAAGTATTACAGGAGTTATTTCAAAACTAATAACAGTCATATTTACAATGAGTTTAAAAGAGTCAACTCAACGATTACCAGTGTGTAGGCTAACTCAGACCATACAGACTAAGGAAACAAAGTTTCTTTTGTTTCCTTAGTCAATGGTTATTGATAAACCTAAAGCATTCCGGCCGGTTTTCTCCTTCTCAAAATACCTCGCTGTACAGGCAACACAGGTCATTGATAGAGGGCCAATTGAGAACGAAAAGTCGTTTTGGGGTAGTGTTAGGGTGCATTTGTAACCTAATAGTTGAGATTGTCCAGGGTCAGGTGCTGACTGTGATGAGTTAAACCTTTTACGCGCCACTGTTCTGTAGCTGCGGTCGTTATCACGATTACGCCTCTTGTCTATGTTTCGTTGTCGTCGCGTCGGAGGCATTTAAAAGAAGAAAGAAAAACAACAATTAAACAAATTATAGCTACACAAAACAACGATAAATGCACAAATTTAAGTTACAATGATGCTAACACGATCCGTCATAGCGACACAAAACAACGATAAATACAAAAATTTAAGATACAACCATACTAACACGATCCGTCTTAGGGGTTATGTTTAAACAAACTCATATAGTAAATAAACGTACTCAATGTGTTTCATTGAATTGAAAAATAAATAACAGCGGTTAAATTATACAGCTGATCAAAATGTAAACAATTATGTTCTTCATAAGGATAACATGGGAACTTTCAAAGCCACTGGGGCAGAGCCCAAGGGACTTTTTCAAAAATGTAAGGTCAGTTTGCAAATCTACGCGACACGCTCTTTCCAATGAGACGTCAATGGATAAAATCGGTTAAGAAATGGCGGAGGAGTTCAACCGACAAAGTTTCATGTAGCGTATTAATTATATAGATTTAAATAGAATTAGTTTAACAAGTACTTAGGTTTGCTGCATCAGGGAGGGTAAAACTGTTTTTTTTTTTTTTTTTTTGTAAAATGTTAGTAGTTAGTAAGAAATAAAAACATTTTCCAAATTTGATCAAAATATGTTCATAAACAAGCAAATTACAACAGTTTACTTATTCTCCATAAGAATAACATGGGAATTTTAAATTAAAAATTTTTTGGAATTTTCTCCGTAACCATTAGGCGCATAATAACGCTTCAATATACTAAATTATTTGTTTTTTTAAGCTCTACAAAATGGTTTAGAAAGAAATTGCTAAATTTTATGTTTTTTGGGTCAAAAATGGGAAAAACCTATTTTTACCCCATAAAAGCCCCCGTAAACCCCCGTTCCCATGGTCCGATCATGCTGGATCGCGAACTCGTTCGAATAAACGTAGGTTTACACGTTTGTACCAAATTTCATCAAAATCGGATCATTTTTGCTCGAGTTATCGCGCTAACGGACACATATATATATATATAAATATATAAATATATAAATATATAAATATATATATATATATATATATATGAATTTGAACGGATGGTGTTTTTGGCCTCTAGTGACCTCAAAACGAAAAAAAAAATCGGTCCCGCGTCCAGGTCTTACCATGAGTACTACGGTAATAGCTTATTCCCTATATGGGAAATTCGCTAAAACAAATTGCGTTGTAAATATAATCTTATTGAAGGAATATTAGTCTATGGCCTAATTTGTTTGGTCGATCTTTTTATGAAAATAAGTGATTGAATAAAATAATAACTAATTGAATTGTAGTAAAATGCAGTGTGGATTAAAATAATTATTTTGATTTATTTAAACTAATCGAAAAGTATTTTATAATTAATGCTTAAAATGTATAATCAATGCTTAAAATCTTATGCTAAATAGTTACCGAATGAAACTAGCTGATTTAACAAAAAAAGTGCCAAGTCATTACGTCACATCATTCAAACAGGACTCGGAACCCCCCACCACCGCGCCCGGGATAGTGGAATTGGTATCGGATCGGAACGGAACACGGAACATACGAAATGAAACGCGGCAGATTATTATTGTTATCGTTGTTGTTATCACAGTAAGCTGTAGCTGTAAGAGTACTGTAAGTGTACTGTGACTGTACATAGTAGCCTATTTATTTGATGCATGTTTTCTCAGACATGTCTGTTTGTGTTATGTATGTGTTCCCAAAATTGTGATAATTGCATGTCAAGTCCAGTAACTGTTAAGATGTTATTTGTTATGTCATAAAGTATTTATTGTAGTGTTGTTATTACCTGTTAATAATGCATGTTGTTTCCCACTTATACCTCATTGAAGCAAAAATGCAGAGTTATAGTTATAGCATTTATAGTTTTATTTTATAAACAGAAATATTTTTTCTGTTAAACCTTCATTTGATTTTTCATTATTAGCAAGTCTGGTTAGTTTGGCTAGGTTATGATAGTTTAATTTTATAATAAAAAAAGTATAAAATAGGATTTGAGGCATTTATAATTTTATTTTATGAACAGAACTATTTTTTCGATTAATAAACCTTTATTAGATTTTTTCATTGTCAGCACGTTTGGTTGGTTTGGTTAGGTTATGACGGTTTAATTTCATAATAAAAAAACATAAAATTGAATTTGAGGCATTTATAATTTTATTTTATGAACAAAAATAATTTTTCAATTACTAAACCTTCAATCTAGAAGCCTCTAAATGACACGTTGGCAAAATTAATCCTGAAAAACAAATTGTGCAAACCGTTCCGATTTCGATTCCGCTGTCCCGGACGCGGTGGCGGGGGGTTCCGAGTCCTGTTTGAATGGAGTCGTCAAGTCAACAAGTGGAGTGGAGTGGAGTGGGGATTTGGGGAAGTGCAAATAGTGCAATGCAAGAATGCAAGCTGCAAATAATTGTAATAATTATTCAATTGTATTGTGATTGTGTCTGAGTCTGTGTGGGGAATTGTGTAGAAATAGAAAGTGCTGTTGCCTTTATTGAATTAATTAATTAAGGAAACAAAGCCTTAACTTGCCGTTAACTCTTATTGCACATGGCTGGTGAGTTAATGAGTTATTAAACTCTGTTTTATCTACGCAAGTACCTAATATAGAATTAATAACTCTCGTTCTACACTTGTTCATTACCAAACACAACAGTGATGTTCAACAATAGAAAAGTTAGCTTTCTATTCAACCTTAGTTTGGGCTCGTTTATGGTATGCCTTCGAAGTTTGGTTACGCCTGACTACTAATAGATTGGTGTTGCGTTGGGGTACAGTTTCTTAACTGGGCTATGCTAATATCGATTGAAACTATCGATTCGATTAGTAAACCTTCATGCGATTTTTTCACCATCAGCAAGTTTGGTTGGTTAGGTTAGGTTATGATAGTTTAATTTTATAATAGATATATTTAAAAATACCAATTATTAATCAATATTTTCAATTCGATAGTTTTAATCGATATTAGCATAGCCCAGTTAAGAAACTGTACCCTTGCGTTGGTTTAACCCCCTATCAAAATTTAGCACGGGCTGCACTTTACTTAGCATGAGGTCCTACACTCATTCAAATGAAAATACAGTATAGATTATTTGATTTTTTCATTTGATATAATCGTTTGGTTAGTTAGGTTAGGGTGTACAGTTTGTTAACTGGACTAGGCCTATGCTAATATCGATTGAAACTATCGATTCGATTAGTAAACCTTCATGCGATTTTTTCACCATCAGCAAGTTTGGTTGGTTAGGTTAGGTTATGATAGTTTAATTTGATAATAAATATAGGCTATTTAAAAATATCGATTATTAATCAATATTTTCAATTTGATAGTTTCAATCGATATTAGCATCTAGCCCAGTTAAGAAACTGTACCCAGGTTAGGTTACCTGACTAACCAAACGATACATCGAATGAAACAATCGATATATCGATCAATATTTTCTTTCGAATGAGTGTAGGAACTTTAGTAAAGTGCCGCATTAGCACGTTACATTTGCTTTATAACAATTTTCCTTTTGGTTTCCTTTATTGGTTAGGGTAATTAACTTATTTAATATGTCTAACTTACACTGGTATTTTAGCTTATGGTATAATTTTGAGATGTCTACCTTACAGTTTTATAATTAATATCTAGCTTCAGGTTTTTTGAGTTATTCATAAAGGGCTAAGTTTATTTGTGGTTTGGACAAGTCCAAGTTCTAGCAGCAACTAACACTGAAAGGGGAAGACGGGTATATTGCGACGATCGTGATCATGGGAACCTCTATATAGATTTATATATCACTAGAAACTAAGTTTAGATGTTTAGCTGAAAATAATGGTGCAAAAATTGTTCCGCGCTCTCAAATATTAACGGAGTTAGTCTGTTTTTAGTTTTATTTAATACCGGTACTTTGTTTTTTTGACCTAACCCATTTGCAAGCCTACGAAATGTTCTCTCTAGATAGGGATAGCGGATTTTTATCCCCCTGGAATTTTAACCCCTGGGCAAACGTGACGTCACAAACCAGGGGGTAAAATTCCGGGCACGAACTTTTGAGTTTCGCGACATCAGCTTGATGGATTAAACGCGGAATTAAACATATGTTTTCACGGTTGTGAATTTAATCAGAACACATCAAATTATCAAAACCTAGAGTGTACGGCCCGGATTTTTACCCCCGGATTTTTACCCCCGGAATTTTACCCCCTGGATTTTTACCCCCGGAATTTTACCCCCTGGCCAGATATATAAATTATTGAGAATGATTAGGTAACTATCTTTAGCCTATTGTGTTTTAATTTAATAGTAAGCATTTTAATTCAATTCAGTTCAAATTATCTTTATTCATCAAGTACATTAGAAATATATACGAGTGAAAATTTAAAAACGTACGTTTTCATGTCCCTGGCCTTTTACTTCGTAGATACCGGATTTGTAGTTTATTATTATGTGTTTTAATATTTTTTGGGGCGGGGGCAACATCTTACACACATTTATTTGGTTTTAAATAGGTTCTAGGTATTTTTTTTGTATTTTTAAAGTCTCGAAATTCACGACCATGACGTGTCCCTAGGGTACATTTTCCAACTTTCACGCTGTTTTTAGACTAATTATTCATGCCGAAATATATAAAGCCATATTTTTATGTCATCAATGGTTATTAAACTTACAAAAAAGGAGCATATTATAATTTTATTGTCATTGCAGACTGACTACCATGACAAAATAAGTCTGTCCCTCGATTTGGCGTCACGACCATTTGGGAAAAATTTTCAACTTTGGAGCACGACAGTGGCAAGCCTGGCGTCGATGGAGTCAGTTGGTTTTAGAGACTAGTTCGGGGTGTACGTCAGGATTGTAGTGCCGGTCGTTTTGAGTTGAAAGGAGGAATTACAAGATTAATAAAGGAAAGATTGTGTTTTTTGTAATTTTGGTGTGTCCATGACCGTACGTAGTCATTCGATGAAGTAGACATGGTGTTAATTTTTGTTTATAAGACATTTCAATTGCTAGATTAACCTAGAAGTCCACTTTGTATCCTCGAACATGAGGTGCAGGGCTACCACCAGAACAGAGCCAAATAACACGTAATTTCACGACCAAAGTTTCACGACCGTCGCGGTTTTTTTCACGACCAATCCAGCCTTATGGATTATAGTGTGTTTGGTCGTGACAATAACTTTAATATAATTGTAAATTGAACAGTTTAGTTCAATTGAAACACATAGTTTTATTATAACTAACAGTCTAAGTGAAGGATTGTTTAGAAAGATTTTGATTATTCCAGAGAATTCACGACCGTACCGCTTGTCCCTGACCATCACGTTTATGATTTCTATCATAAAAATTTCAAAAATTAAAATATCGTCATATTTCAATGTTTTATACACAAAAGAAGCACACCTCTATACAAACATAACGTTTTTTCGGGTCTCAGGTAAGTTTTTTCGAAGTTATACAAACTTAAAAAGATTTTATTGGCTTTTTTCTATTTTTTGAGTTTTTTTCATTTTTCTAGAAAGACCAAATATACCAAAAGCTCAGTGACCTTTTTATTGTATAATGGTCATAAAAGTAAATTAGTTTATAGCAAAACATAGTTATAAAAATAATATTAACTATTTTTAATATTCATTTAAACGTCCGTTATGGTCGTGACAGGATTTTATGTTTTTCTACGAAAGATGCTCTTTAAAAAGAAAACTACCAAAGATATTGCGTTACCATGGACATTTTATGAAACTTCAAATGTTAATGAAATAAAAATAATAATAAAAATTTTGACAAAAGGGGAAAAAAATTTGCAAAGTGCTTTTCCTGAAAACGTACGTTTTTAAATTTTCACTCATACATGAATAGTGTCACATTTCTTATAAGTTATAATAAAACATACATGCTTATAGTAAATGGGAAAAATTGTAAAAGAACATAAAACTAACAGTTAAAACATACATTGATTAAGTAGGGAAAGAAAAGTTAATTACAGTTCATCAAATGAATAAATAGCCCTGCTAATGAGAAATTTCTTAAGTTTATTTTTAAATTTTTTTATATTTACTTCTGCTTGTATGTTTATTATTATTAAGTAGCCTATCTTAATTTATTTGTAACATCAAATAATCGAAAAGGTTTTTGATTTTAATTTTGAGATTCGAGTAGGCCTATCAGGATTCGATCTTTGAAGCCAACAATTGTTGATTAATATGACGTATAAACAAACATCAGAATGGTAATGGATTCGAAGATTTCTTTAACGATTTATTATACAACCGTGGTTAAAACAATGTTTTTCGTTTGTGTTGTAACAATAACATAATATGCCTTATTGTTTCTTTACAAAGACATTTTCTCCCAATTATCATTTAAATGAGCTATGTTTATTTTACATACCTATTATTAACCAACAGTTGGCCTCAAACGCAAATCGCGAACATCAAAATTAAACAGCGAATTTGGTTTAGGCCTACTTATTTGAGATTACAAAATAAATAAATAAAGATAGGCTATTAAATAATGAAATGTTTACAACTAATTAAAAACATAAATAAGAAAACCAATAATTCGATTTCTAAAATCGGCCAGGGGGTAAAATTCCGGAGGGTAAAAATCCGGGGGTAAAATTCCGGGGGTAAAAATCCGGCCCGTACATCTTCAGTTGTCTAAACGTTGGTTATATGGACAGGGGGTAGTCTAAAATTCCGGTTTTTATCGCTAATCTAATTAATCACGCTCTGGCTATTTTCATTAGACTTCCAAATCCGCGGGGGTAAAATTCCGACCGCGAACGAACTTTTGGTCACTCAGGTTACTATGTCATAGTGACGTCAGCTTTGCCCAGGGGGTAAAATTCCAGGGGGATAAAATTCCGGCGATCCCCAGATACTTGATATATTACGTTAATTATAAGTAATTAAAGTAGGAGACTCACTTTTTACCTAGAAATAACAGTGCCAAAATGTCTCAGAGGCCAAAGATAATTGTCGTTTTGATTTCCTTTATCTACCTCCTACCTTCTATTCTATTCTAGTCTGCTACTGCTTGCCGAATTACAAAATTAAGGAACGGACTAACTGTTACTTGTAGAACTGTACTGAACATGAAATGAAAATGAAAATACGGAATTGAAGAGAAGAGAAGAAAAATAAGTCAATCAAAGACATTTAAAGTACACGTGCTACAATACGAACATCTAAGAAACAACACGGCACTGAATAACTTAAAATGCAAGCATTTTTGAAATGGTTATTTCGTTGTGTTTAACACACTATTTTAAAGGCACAACAACTGCCTGTGTGTAATGTAAAATATCAACTCAGTTCACTATAACCTACACTTTAACTTACCTAATCTAACCTACCTTCAAAGGACTTAATGCAGTCACGAATCCGCATAAAGTCCGACTTGCCTTCCACACATGCCTTTTCTGTCATCACGTACTTATATTTTATGTTAACTTACAGCAAGTTTGGTTAGGTTAGTTTAGAATACCGGTAGTTTAATTTTTAAAATAATACGTCATAGACTAAACAACGTGTTACAGTAGAGTCCCGCAAACTCGGCGTAATGTGGACTGG